AGGGAAAGGGCTTATGTTTGTTATTCCCTTTGCAGAATCAAACAATACGGCTAAGAGACGTAATACACCAGATTACCAGCAGATGGTCTAATCGCAAGATGATGCGAGTTGTATTACAACTACCTTTTCTGTGGTGACACATATATGAAGGTTTTACTGGGTAATTGTTAAAGCAGGAATTGAATGGAAGGAGGGAAAGTTGTTTGGCACAAAGGAGTTGCGTATTGAAGAGGAGGGGAAGGAACACAGGTGCGAAGACAAAAGAGAATCAAAAAAGAGCGCCTCTTTAGAGGAATAAAGATTTTTATAGCTCCTCTGGTAATCTTACCTTTTTTTCCTGCTCAGCGATCGCTCATAGGAACGTTGCGTTTGAATATTTGTCATGGTAGCATGCACTTGCACAGGGAAAATAATGCTCTGTTGAGCATATAGAGGACTGTGGGTCTTAACTGTTTGGTTGAGGCATTTTGTTTCCTTTTGACAAAATGAGTCAGATGTGCTCTTTGCACTTCACCTGCAGAATTTTACTTGTCTTATGCTGAGCAATGGATGCATCTATCCCAGATGTTTCAGATAAAGGTAGACACCAAAGGTATCAGTGCAATTGAGATGATTTTTAGAATTGGTTAAAATTTAGGGGGAAGTTTGTCTTAATTCCTGGAAGGAATTCTGGATGGCGATGAGGAAAACTCTAGCTTTCTCCTGTAGCATACTTTTATAAAAAGGCTTTTAGTTTGATGTTTTCTCGGAATGGTGGTTTACCAACGTCTAACAAAAGATACTTGTTCAATTACAGCAATATTTTCTGCTCTGAAGAATCTCCAGGAAAAAATTCGTCGGCTAGAGTTGGAACGGCTTCAGGCAGAGGAGAATGTAAAACACCTCAGCAGAGAAACAGCAGACTATAAAAAAGTACTAACTGAACAAATGCAGCACAAAGAACGTGACAAGACTGAAGCATCAAAGAAAAATCGAGGTTGTTTGCAAACTTTATATAAATACCACCGAAGAGTGCTACAGATGAAACTTGTACTTTATCCATGCCTAAAAGTATTTTAAATTACTTTGTTTAGCACCTTTTACCTTATAGTGACATACAAAGTCAGGGAAGGGAAGAAATCATTTTAGAAGAATACTTTCTCTTGGGGATTTGATTGATTAATTTGTGAGCTGCTTTAGATGGCTGGCTTATTTTGGAGCTGTACTGAAAACACTGAGAAATCCTAGGAACAAGCAGTGCATGATTTCCCTTTTCTGCCTTCTGTTACCTTCAGAACTGGCTTCCCAGTTGGCAGCTGCTGAGTCTCGTTGCAGCCTTTTAGAGAAACAGCTGGACTACATGAGAAAAATGATCCAGCATGCAGAAAATGAGAAGACGCATCTCTTGGAGAAACAGGTGTGTTCTCAAGACTGTTCTGAGGTTAAATTTATAAAAGTCATGAACTGTGTTATGGTTTTCTGTAGTTACTGTAATTTTAATACCTTTTAAGTGTTAGCTGTCTATTATTGAGCCAGCCTTTAGGTACTTACGTGTGGATAATTTCTCTACTTAGGCTTCCCAGTCATACCTAATCACTGGCATTTTCCCTCTTCTGCGCACCTGTCTCTAAGGCAGTATAATAGGCTCTGTTATTGCAATAATTATTTACTACTTTGTGACTGACTTACTGCAGTGGCTCATCTGTATCCCTTGGAGTGCTATACCCATGTGCCACTGGAAAAAACCCTCCCTTTTGTGTTTGTACTCTTCAGATCTTTGGGGATTTTCTGTACTAGTGTTGTTCTTGCTAAACGAGGGCTAAAATACTTGTCCTGTAAAAATAATAGTAAAATTATCTCCCACTGTTGCTGGATGTGGGGTTTGTCCTGTGTCTAAAATGGACTTGAATTTTGTTTTATAGGTGTATAGATAACCTAAAGCTATTTATCAGGCTCTGTGGCTGTTGTATTTCTGTCTATTGAATGTGTATCACTGAAGTAAATAAAATTTAAGGAAGCTGCTTGTAGCAGCTCAGTAGTGAGGGTTCTTTGTAGCTTTGGATTTGGAAGTATGAGTGACTGCAGAACAACCTCTTGTCTGAATTTAGCTAAGCGTGAAGTTCCCAGCATTGGTGGACCAGTGGCGTAGTTGCTTTTCAATTGTAGCACTATGTAGAATTGCACATAGAAGCTAGTAGTTCCTTTGGTCTGTCTATGGTTCCTCCTTTGCATTGCAAAGACAATGCTTACTATGGATGTTCCTCTTTTATTGTGCTTAACTGTTTTACTGTTTTCTTCTCTTTTCAAGGGTACATTAGAAAGAGATCGGCTTCTTGATCAATCACATGTCCAGTCTAAATTGGAAAAACTGGATATGCTGGAAAAAGAGTACACTAGACTTACTACAATGCAGTCCCTAGCAGAGGTCAGTTATTTCTACTGTGTACTGTATCAGATTTATCTTGATTATTGTAATCAATGCTTCATAGTTATTTGTCACTAATAGAGTTGAGCAAAACTTTGTCCTGTTGAGAATGATAGGAATTAAACATTGTTTTTTAATTCTTTAGCTGAAGTGGGATACAAATTTGAAGTTCTCGGTGAAACTCCATGTGGCCAGTCAGGTCTCAGGTGACCGTGCACCACAAGAATGGATGTTCTGTTTAGTTTTAACAGTATTTGTTTGTGTTTCTCTTCTGTGGTTAGTTGGTGACAGGCGTATAGGATTAAGTGTATTTCTGAATTCCTGTGAGTCACCTTGCATAATATTGAATTCTTGGAATTATATTCTCTTATGACACAGATTTGATTTGTGTATTTTTTTTTATTTTTACCTCTTCCCCTCCCCTTACGAAACACAATTATTCCTAGTTATTTGCTTGCAGAGTTCTAGAGTCTGGAGTTGCTAGGCCTGTAACACCAGATGTCTTGTCAGTGTATTTGAACCAGTCTGCCTTTTCAGGATTCACTTTAAATCAGTAGCTTTTAGAAGTTCAGCATGACCATGTTTGGTCATATTGAATCTCTACACTGTCTATGGTCTGGACTTACGGAATCCAATACACGTTTCACCTCCTTCTGCAGATAGACCACAGGACTCTCAGGTATGAGCTGCAGAGGGCTCAAGGAAGAAAAGGCTTCCACCTGCAAATATATACCTGTATGTGTACATATGTGCGCGCGCACACACACACACACACATATATATATGTTGTATATGTTGCTTAAAGAAGCAGATACTACAGTATCAGATTGTGGTGATGGGGACAGCTTTGAACTAGGTCAGAATTGTCCCCCTGCACACCTGGGTGTTTATGAGATGCTGAAGTAAATGGTGTTGTTCTAGGAGTATGCAAAGACATGTCTGCTAGTAGATCTTCAGTTAGTCAGTCTGCTGCAAGGCTTCTAGGCCGTACAACAGTTCTGGGGGGGGACCTGGCGCAAGGCAACTGTGGCAAGCTATTTAAGATCTTGATGCCTCGTTGTTGTGAGCTCTGTTTATGGAGCAAAAGTGATTGCATTGTTTACCTGGGCCAAACTCCTTGAAACAGAGACCTGGTTCATTGAAAGCAGCAGTAGGTTTTTCCAGGATCAGGATCGACATAGACAATTTGGCAACAGGATTTCCTTTTCCAAAGACTTGGTTACCAAGTGTGGCAGCTGGAATTTGGATGGGAGTGGGTTATTTGTCTCTTTTTACCTGGCTGGTGAACTCAATTTCAACAAGCAGATCAATTCTTTCTTTCCAGATTGCACTAGATGTCTTTGATTCTTTGATATCTTTGTGAATTAGTAGCCACCACAATTAAATCTTATTAGTAGAATTGGGTGCTAGATTCCACGCAGTTAGTTTAGTTCTAGGCACTGAGAGAAGCCTGGATTTAGCTCTGGCTAAACTTTATCATCTTTGTGATCACTTTGCTGTCGTAAGTCTGCTTTCTGGTCTGTCTGTCTCTGTGCGTGCAGACTATCTTCCTGTGTGAACCTCCATGTGCTAAACGTTACCTTATAATGCTGAGAGAGTGACTGTGCTCTCTTTGCTCACAAAAATGCAGTTGCCTCTGTGGTGATATCTGCCTTAGTTGTGGCAAGGTCCCAGGAACACTTGCAAGTTTAATTTGAGACGAGAAATAAATTTACCTGTTCTTCAGAACTTCTAGGCAGCCTTTAGGATGGAAGCTTTTCTGTAGTCCTGTCCATCAAGAAGGACTTTTACGTTCACAAGTCCAGAGATTTTTCTTAGAGACTGAGGTTTTATTTCAGTCTTAAAGCTAGAAGACAGACCGTTTTCACACATGGCGTATTGAAATAGGTGGTAAGTGGTGAGATGGCCTCATATGAGTAAGCCATGATTTAACTGCCTCTGATTTCACATGCTCTGCCAGAGCATAAGTTGTCTGTGGGTCTTACTCAGGCTGTTTAATGTGCAAAACCTGCAGAACCCCAACCTGGCCATCTAGTACTATTCTCACCAAGAAATTGCTGATATTGATATTGTCCCTAAAAAGGAGATGCAGGCCTTCTTATTCATGTGAAGGAGTCCTATTAGGAGTATTTACCTGCCCCCCCCCCCCCCACCATTAATTCACATTTATTGCAACTGTAGTCCTGCAGTGTGGTCTCTGGACACCTGTGTGAGTGGATCTGAACATATCTGTGTGTGGGGATAGGGCTATCCCCTAAAAGTACAGCTAAGGCTCTGGTCTTGTGCGTGACAGATGGTCAGAATTTGAATGTATGTTTAGATCACACATTTTTGAAGAACTGTACTTGGAAGTAATCATTTTTCTTAACGTTAATGGGACTTAACCCCTCCCCCCCCCATCCCCCAAACCCTTCTTTGAACAACAGAAGTAATAAATCGTAGCATCCTATTATGCCTGTATGCTATCTAAAACCTCTAGTTGTTCGATATTCTTTAATTGTCACGTGGGGAGAAGCAACACCTGCCCTGCTTAAGCTATGCCTGTGCTGACTGTGATCTCCAGCAGGTGTTGATTGGCAAGGTAATGAAACCCACAGATAAGAGCTGTCTTCACGCATTAGTTCCATCACCTCTGTGGTGGAACTGATTTGGATATCTTTCCCAGCAGACAACTTTTAGGAAACTTAGGGATTTTGCATCTTTGAGGCCTTATATCTTTCTGTCTGTTTTGGTTAAAGTTGTTTTAAATTTGTTTTAGTGACAGTCAGAAGGATAGGTGTTAGGTGTTCAAAACCTCTCTCTCAAGAGTTTTGAGATGCTAGCAAAAATGTCTTTCATGATATAAATAAAGCGAGTGTCCTCTTAGTCAGCTGTAATGATAGGTGATTAGACCTTTGTTAGGTCTTTGTACAAAATGTTTCAGGATAACGTACACAAAACAATCTGTTTCCTCACATTTTTGTACAACTGAAGAGAGATGTTGTTGCTGTCCTATTGCTCCCCTTGTGGGCTATTTTAAGGCTAACGATGACTTACTTTCACAATTGGTGTCTGAATTTAAAACTAGAAAAATCAATCCAGTTTTAAGTATAAGCGCTTGATTACTGTATTTATGGATATACAGATAAAACTTAGAAATGATTCCAGTTCTGAAGTCTTTACTTGACTTGAAGTAATAAGCTGAATTAATATGCTTTTCCTTGCTCTCTCAGTATTGCAGTCTTCATTAATCTTCACACCATTTTTGTTTAACTTTGACTAGAAAAAAATGAAAGAGCTGGAACAGAAGCTTCAGGAGGAAGAACACGCAAGGAAGCTTGTTCAGGAAAAAGCAGCTGAGGTAACTAACAGGAAATTTCTTTTGTACTAGTATGCACTGCAATTTGCTCTTCCTTTCTATCAATTTTCCAAATAAAGTTGCTGATAGGATCCTCCCATGTATCGAATGAAAACCTAGTGGTGGTGGTGGGGTTATGGGTTTTTTTTTTTTTTTTTGGTTTTTTGCATGTTCTTAGCTTTGTTTGGAGGCAGAGGGAGGGTTATTCTTTTGATCTGAAGTTCAAAATACCAAGACCAGCCCTTTCCCTTTTCTTTTCCCCTATTGTCCGAATGTTTTGGAAGCTTTTTTTTTTCCTTTTAAACAGCATAGTAATGTGTATGCTGAAGCTTAATTCACTCAATAAAAGAAGCTAGGTGGAAGTTGAAATTCATACTGATTTATAGTTGAGGAGGATGTGTGAGGATCCAGTTCACCACTTTTTTGCAACAGAACTAGCTGTGCCATACAGTTAATTGTGTAGTTTATCACTTCATGTTCACAGAAAATCTGAACTATAAAAACCTCATCACTGAGGTAGGTAGGCATTTTTCAGGATTTCCAGAGAAGTGCTGATATATAGCTCCATGGGTAACTCCTTTCAGTTTTTTTTCCATGCTGCTTTTGCAAGCCAGTTCCTCTTCAAGAGAACAGAAATGTGCACTTTTGGCTCTTACGTTGTCAGGAGCTTGTTAGCACCTTCTGTCAACTCCTTCCCAGATTTAAGCCTGTCTTTCTTTATATGTTTATGTGCTTGAGTTCCTAAAGTTCCCATTCTTGCTGAACTAGAGACCTAAGAATCTCTGTTCTTGACAAAAAGCATTCACAAGAATCTGCTGAGCAGTCCTAACAACTTAAGTTCATTTGGTGACCCGGAGCCTTAATCACTTGCTTTTAAGAGTCTTGTTGGAATTCTCTTCTGCTTTGTAAAACCATATTGTATAGAAGTGCTCTCGGAAGGGCAGGAGATGTTTAGGAGAGTTTCTGCTAAATTCATTATTGCTCTAGTTAACCTGATAGCATTTCACCAGCTGCGGTTTTACAGAACTACTCTTAAAATATGACTCTAAGATTAGAGGCAGGAAAGTTCACAAATTTTAGTTTACCTTATGGGGTGTTTTAGCTGCTGACCTGATAAACTTTGCTTGAACTCTGACTAACGATGGGCTTTTCTTTTCAAAAATGCTACACTTTCAGAGGACAGATTAATAAGGGATTCTGAAAAAAAACAGGGTAACTGCTTGAACTTTCAAATACAGTTGTTTGTGCAGTGGAGAGAGGATTTGGCTTGCAGCTCTGCCAGCAGACTTCTGCTGGTAATGCAGTAACAAGATCCAGTTTGCTGTTTGCAGAAGTAGTAGTTCTGAAATCAGTGGCCCAGTTAACGGGGAACCCCATGAAGTTATTTTAGGAATTTTATCAGAGGAGTTCTCTCCTTCAAACAGATCAAGGTCAAAAAGTGTGCTCCTGTCTTCATAATTGTAAGTAGAAATATTGTAGAAGAAGAGGAGAAACAGAGGCGATACGTTGTTGGTTACAAGCCAGTAAGGACACTGGTGTTCTCCTAACCCTGAAGTGCGGTGTTCATTAAATACTTCTCAGTTGTATGCTGAAGTAGCATGTAGATAACATGTTAAACATTAACCTTTGCAATAAGTTTTGGAGGGGTAGGTGGGAGACTCGACTGTGTGAAATTTTGTGAATACTTCTGAGATTGGTTAGGAAGTAATGATTTCTAAAGCCACGTCTAAGCTTTCTGTTGGAAAGAACAGAGAAGTGTATAGAGCTAATTTTTTGAGAGTGGTAATTCTAACATTAGCTCTTCCAGTAAAAATATATATATATATATATGTTTTTTTTTTTTTCCCTGTCAGATATGGTAGAACAGAAGGAATAGTTGTAAGTCTCTTAACTATACACTAAAAAACAATTGAGCCAGATGAGGTGGCTTGGTTTCCCTCATATTTTATCAATGATGAAGCCCAGAGCTGATGTTTCAGCAGTTGGCTGTGTGGCAGTAATTCAGTGAGACTGATTCTTTAACTTGCTAGGTTTAGTGGTGAGAGGTGTTATCAGAGGAAGTATTCTTATTTAATGTTTAAATTGAACTCAGACTGCAGAAGCATCCCACACGCTTGCAGCCTTTGCTTCCAGAGAGCCTGTATTTTAAAAATTACTGTTTTGCAAAGTCTCAAATCGCTTTTTGTCTCTGATTATCTATTAAAATAACTTCAGTAATTCTCATTTTTTTCCCTCAATTGCAGCTTCAAACAGGTCTGGAAACCAACAGAATGTTGATTCAAGCAGCATCACCATCCCTCTCTCCAAAAGCAAGAAGACCCAGGAAGAAAACTAAGCAGCCAGATAAGGTAACATGGGGGGGGGGGGGAGAAAGACAGTCACTAAGGAGTATAATCAGGTGTTTTTGTATGGAATCGGGAAGTAGGCTGCCTCCTTCATTACAAAGCAAAGGGAGAATGGGTTTGCTATAGTGTCATCTTTGATAAACATTTCTCTCTTCTTTCCTTCCAGAAATGCTCTCTTACAAGCCACCTCACTACGCAGCCCCATTACAGACTGTGTCTGGGTGATGTCCCCTTTGTAGCTGGGAAGGTGAGCTGCTTAATTCCAAAGCTCAGTAGATGCAGCTCCTTAAATGGCTTTGGCTTGGTGCACTCCTGACACCCAGTGGTCAGATTGTTTTCTTTTACTCTTTTCTTTTGAGCTTGTCTTCAAAAGCCTTGTTCTGTATCAGAAGCTTGCTGAACTGACATTTCCAAAACGGGTCTCCTCCATGGTACTAGTCAAGCTGTTCTTGTTAGTGCATATTAAATCAAACAAAAATATATTATTGGCAGCAAATCAAAAATACACTATCAGCCTTGTTTCTAAGTGTTCTCCATTATTATAAATAAAGTAGGTTGCTGACAATGCAGTTTTAAAGAAATCTCTTTACCTCTTTTTTATTCTTCCTTCCAGTCTACTAGTCCCAGCCATTCTGTTGGTGCCAATGTGCAACATGTGCTACACCTGATGAAGCAACACACAAAAGCACTATGTAATAATCGTGTGGTCAATGATACTCCCTTAGCAAAATCAATCAGTGGTGTTCATCCTGCCAGCAAAAGCAGAAGGTCATCTCTGCCAAAGGATTCTTCTTCATCCCAGGAAGAGCTCTCAGAAGTGCTGCTGACTTTACAAGATGAATTTGGGCAGATGAGTTTGTGAGTTTGTTATATTCTCCATTGCAGATAAAGAGTGTAGATGCTCTATACTTCTGGCTTTTTTACTTTAAAGCAGGAAGGTTTTGCCTGGCCAAGAAGATAGTCTTGGGTAGTGTATGGCACATAAATCTATTATTTTCCGTTGCTGCAATGGCTCTCTTTTACCCTAGGAATTAAAGCTATGTTCTAATAAATGATACCAGCTCCATAGCTGCGTTTACATGCAACAATATCAAATTTGCGAGTGCTGAGGGAAAGCATGGGAGCAGCCCTTGATACAGTGGACAGATACTCTATTTAAGGATTGCTTTTCCAGTCACTCTGCTCCTGCTCATTAACAGAACATGACTTGTTATTCTATTGTACAACTGCAGTGGATGTCAATCTACAAAATAGTGACTGAATGAGTGCTGAGATCATCTTTCTAAGGGATTATTTTTTAATTCTAAATAAGCGTATTGCAATTTGAGCGTTTTGAAATTGACGCAACATAAAGCTGTCAAACTGTCACCAGGATGCGCTGCAGTAATAATGCTAACCAGCAAGACTGTTCTTACTGGTTTATTAATCCATATTGAACGTTTCTGGCTGTTGATACCATGGTTTCCTAGAGATGTTATTTGTCGTTTGGGCATACAAGCATTACAGGCTGAGGGAATCTGATGCAAGCTGTGTTCTATCTCTAAATTACATGCTAGTGATCACCAGCAGCTAGCAAAGCTTATCCAGGAAGCCCCAACAGTTGCAGTGAGGGAAGATCTTGAGAGGGATCTTGAGGCACTGGTGGGAAGGATGGAGGCAAAGGCAGACCAAATCAACAAAGTTCGGAGGCATCGTGCACGGGTGAGTTACTTTCTCAGGTTCGTGGTTCTGCAGAGTTGTTATCTTGAGGATTCTTATCCTACTATAGCAGCAACTGAATAAAGCAGAAATAACTACTTTTTCAGAGCAGTATTTCCCAATTTGAACTTGAAAATCCCAGGTATGCACCCTTCCATCTTTCTATCCCACAATTTCTGCAGAAATATGCTTTCTGTCTTGCCATGGTACCTTTGTGCCCACTCTTCCTTGTATCCCGGGCAGATCTTTGGCTGTCCTTGCATTACCTCTTGTACTCTTCCCCTTCCCCCAAATGGGGAAAAGATCATCTAAGCTACGAAGCGGATTCCGTAGCTGTTGAAGTCTGTGTACACAGCATGTGCTGGTTGGGAGGGACATGAGCTGACAAACAGCATACGGGGCTGGAGGGCCTGCATCTACTTCTTGGCTCTCAGACTGTCTTTCTGTAAGCTATTTCTGGTCAGATGTCTGACGTGTCGGGTGATAGCCATGTTCTGTGCAGTCAGTCACTCCTGCCATGCATAAAGCAGCTATGCTAAACCAAAGCAATTGCTTTTCATGAAGATCCTACTAACAACCAGCTGTAGAGATGATTGGGAGAAGCCCTCATGAAATGCTGTTCTTTGCATTGAAGAAAATACTGAATTTTTAGTAACCTAAGTTGTATTTAAAGAGATGCCTAGAATCCCAGGGTCTTCCCACTGTTAAACTAAGTCTTAGCAACTTTCCTTTGTTTGGCATAAGTGACCTATTTAATCATGCTTTGATTTGTTTTATAACAAAAGTCTATTTCGGTTTAAAAAAACTTTCTAAATTCTTTGAATAGTGTAGCTGTTCATTTAAAGGTGTGAAACTGTTTTGTCCAATCTTCATTCATTTTAGTGAAATTCTTCCCAAAGAGTTTAAGCCCTGTGGGTTTTATCCAGTTCAGTTTATATGAACCAAAAGATTCACCCTCATCTCATGTAACTTAGTACACAAAACACGTACTGAGAAAGCTGCTGATCACATTTTATGCCTGCCCATTTTAGATATCTCTTAAAACAATTGAAAACATTAGTTATCTTTGATCTCTCTTACGATCTTCAGTGGAATTGCTGCAGCAAAGTAGATGTGTAATAATTGCAGTAGTAATGATGGGAATTATTCTAGATTATAGTATATACTTCTGACTACCTATTGACAAAAGTTTGTTTAAGGATCAGCTGTTAGGAAGATTGCTGCATGCCCTAAAATGGGAGAAGAGACCACCGCTACCTAAGATTAAGGAAACAGTGCAAGTTAACCAATTTGGTTGAATATATGAGTGTGTCCACACCTTTGACACTCGCTCCAGGCCCCAGGCAAGCTGATGCCAACTTTGTCCTCATTGCTGAGTATTGAGTCTTACAAGCTGTGACTTACAGTGCTGTGTGGTGGATACCAGTTGTTTGTGTCAGTAAAGTTCTGATGTTCCTTTTAAAACCCACCTCTGGCAGTGACTAGCCATTAAAATCACTAGTGTGTATATGGAAAAACTCATGTGGTTTTTTTTGTTTTGTTTCTAACTGGAAGGTGACAATGACAACTGAGTATCCTTGTGTCTTATATGATGATTCTGCTCATGCTCATGATGGAGACACTTCTCTAAACCTGTAAATCAACTTATCAGCTCTAAAAGAGATAACCTAGTAGTTCAGACTGTAATACTAAATACACCTGTAAAGATGCAAATATAGCAATGTTATATAAGGGAATATAATAAGGGAAATATTTTAATTATTCAGGAAACTAGATGACTTGGAAATACCATTTGCTTTGCTGGGTGAAATGAGTATTGGAGTAAAGGAGGGAGACAGCACGAGGAGAATATTTCAGTCTTCCAAGGGAAATACAGAACATGAAGAAAACAAACAAACAAACAAAAAAAAACCAAGATCACCACTTAATGTTTTTACTCTCAACTTCTCTTTCAGCTAGAGAGACTTAAGAGAGAGTGCAAGTCCAAAAACACTTCAGCCAAACAAATAAAAGACAGCAGGTTTCCTGTTAGTGAGGTTAAAGTAACAACTACAGTAACCACAAAAGGAAAGGATGCTGGTCCTATCAAAGTCAAACCTGGAGAGAAGAGTCGGAAGAATCTTCAGTTGTTGAGAGACATGCAAACCATACAGACTTCGCTACAAAAAGACGATATCACCTGGGACTACTGACTGTTCTACTAGAGATGTCCTTGAAAATCTTCCCAGTCAAAAGCTTTCCCATGTTCTGGATATAAAGCAGCCGCCTTTCTTACTATGTGAAAGAGACTACTGTATGCTAAGTGCACTTTTGAAATATGGGCCAATTCTCCATCTCTGGGTTTGATTGTATATATTATGGCATACTTTAAACTCACTCCATTTTTAGGGTATCCTGCTACTGAATCTAAACACAGGTTTCCACCAGTTCCTTTTGTTTTAGGATTGCAGCAGTTGCTCTTCTTCCTCTTTCGGCACACCAAACAGCACGTTTATATGGATTGGCTTGTGTGAAATGCCAGTGTGATTTCACAGCACTGTTGCTGAACTCCTGCGTGTTGGGGGGCTTCTGAAGAGTTATCTTTTGGAAAAATGATGCTGCGCCCTAAGTCTTAAGGGCTTTTGTCAGTTCTCTTGTGTGCAGCTGCTATTATTCAGGCTCTGAGTGTGTTTAAGGGAAATCAGGTAAACCCTTTTAAAGGTGTTTTGCTTAACTCTCTTCAAAAAGCTTTTCTTGTTCTTGTTCTGCCACATTCCATTAGTCAGTATTAATGGCAATGGATATCTGACTACTCAAAGAAGGAGGGAAGTAACTTTTCTAAATGATTTTGCTAAATGATTTAATGTGGTTTTTTTTAAGTCTGAAAGATGAAATATTTCTTCAAAAATCATACTTTATGAAAAAGCTATAGGATGTTGGGGATAAAATCCCCTCTCAGTCCATGGCTTTGGGTGGTAAAGGAGTGAGATAAACCACAAGTGTTTTAAATTGCAAGTGCCTCAATCATGCCATTCAGTCCTGGCATCTTGCTTTTAACTTGAAATATGTGCTTTGATGAGCTATCTACTTTGAGAATAGTGCAATTCATTTTGCACTCTGACTTGCACAGCTGAGTAAATGTTATTTATTATGTTAATAATGTAAAGAATTTCCTATTAATGGAATGTATAGAAGACCCAGATTATCTGTTTATAAAGTTGAAAAATAAAGCCAGCTTGCCTGTTACGTTAGTTGTGGGAAAGCAGCACTTATTCTAAATTGACCAACCACTTCATGGTTGGTGTGTATCTGTGTGCCTTTTCTTTTTTTTTTTTTTCCTCCCTTCTCAGTCCCTTTCTTACTCTGAGCCAGGCAGGGGGCTGCTATTCCTGACCTTAGATCTGTGCATTTAACTCTAGCTAGCTGTGAAATCTTACGGGTCTTCTGAGATATGCTGAGGGGAAATCTGAAAACAGCTCATGTGAGGAAAATGACACTGGCTGCCCAGAGGCCCACTGTTTCCTGCAGCACTGTGCTGGTCTGCAGAGGCAGTTGAATTGCAGTGTAGCCTGGAGCTGGACCCTGGTAGCTCCTGCTTGTTGTTTGGATTGCCATGTACTGCCCACTGCTGTATGTTTGGTCCTGATGTGACATGTCCCTGGTCGGGGGGATGAATGTTTGCTGCTAGCACACCGGTAAGGTGAGGGTTATGGGGTTGGACCTCTTGCCCATAGCTGAAGGAGCAGGGAACTCTCTGTAGGCTCAACACAGGAGTCCAATCCAATCTGGCAGAAGGGATTTGAATCAACTCTCAGGGTGCTCTCCCTACCTGTTTCCTTCCATCCAAGCAGCAGACTGTTTTAGCTGTGGGGAAAGAAGTCAGAAGCTGTCTACCAGGCCCAGAGCTATTTCTCCTCAATTTCATTTAAATCAAGCCCATGGGCCCCTTGTAGGTGGAGATGCCAATTCAGAGAACAATTCATCCTGCCTGTGTGTGTGGTTGTGTGGTGTTTTTCTTTTCTTCCTCCTGTGGGGGAGAGTTGGGTGTCCCATTACTTTATAAGGGGTTCCTGAAAAGCAGTAGCTGAAACTGGGATCAGGGTAATTGTGCTTAGAGAGGATTGCTGGAGCTAGCTTGCTCAAAGAAGGATTTAATGCAGCATTCCATCAGGTTGTCTTAAATGAGTTTAATGGTTGAGTGCATATAAGTTAGTTTAGGCACCTTACAATCTGAAGGGCGGCATAGGAAGTATTTTAGGAGCAGCCTGGTTCAGTATGCACACATACAACAGTGAATGAGGTACCTAAACTGGAATTAAGCCTACTAGGGATGAGAGCACTGGGGAGCAGGCATTAGCATGTTGACCGAGTCATTTTTATGAATTTGGGCTGAATGTAACACACCCTTACAACAACAAAAAAAAAAAAACAAAAGCTGCTTTTTTTTTTCCACAGAAGTTACAGTGCCAATGCATTGTAAAGTGCAGAAATTGTTGGTTGTTTGTCACTGTGAGTGTATTTCATAATTCTGAGCAGCTGAATATTGCACCTGTACTCATACTGCACTGTACAGGATAAGAGAAACTTGTCGAAAGATAAATTGTGTTCCAGTCTTTCTAAAAGTGCAGTTTGAACATTAGCACCTGGTTAGGCCAGCTGTAGGAGTGAGAATGAGACAGCAAAGAAGGAGCTCTATTTCTACCCTTTGATTTGCATACTAAATTTTCAGTGGTGTCATTAATGTTTGTGTATCTGTGAGTAAGTTCTTTGGTTTTAATAACCATATAGTTCAAAATAAGAGCACAGGAAAAATTCATCCATTCAATTTTTATTAGTGTTAAGAAAAAAAAATATGCCTGTATCAAGAAACAAAATATACATATGCACGCAATCTGCTAATAGGGAATAATGCGATGAACCATCTTACACAGTGATTGTACATAAGAGCAGGTTTGCCATTTAACCTTAAAGCAAGTTGAGTCCTTCAGAAGGTAGTGCGGATTCTTTGTTACTAAACCATAGAGGTGGTGTTAAGTCTCAGGCCACACTAACCACTGCAGTGATGCTACACGGCCTGTTAATCGTTACGTCAGGAGGCTGCCGAGTTTTCCTTAAGCACTGAGACACTGATTGCAGTAGGAGGAGGCAGAAAGGGAGAGTGCAGGAGGAAATTATTGTTATTGCCTCTGAGGGAATGTGGCTGTTGAAAGGCAATTTCTGATGTATAAATTCACCCACCCTTAAACTCTCTCAGACAGTGCTTCTCCTGCTCTGAAGAAAGGCTGAGAGAAAAAGCATGCTGACAGTGGTGTATTAAAACAAGTGACTGTAGTATGGGAGCCTATAGTAAAAAGACCAATGTAGGAACCCAGACCAAGCAGTGATCCTCTTGCTTACTACAGAAATGAGAGGCAGTGTGGAGTAGATAGATATCCTTGCAAAAACACCACTCTCTTCACTTTAAGCCCTATCATCTACAACCCAGTATTGATTTGTTTGGAAAGGCCATATGGCAGCCGTGGTTCCACCAAACACAGGAGTCTTTGTCATCGCCACTTCTGTCAAAATTCAATAAGAGGATTTTATTGTAGAAGTTTTATTATGTGGGTAGCACTCATTCTTGAAGTACATGATACTCTGAGTAAAAAGACTTTAACCTAGGGCTCAAAAAACTGGTTGAGCTATTCAGTGCACTGGAATAATATTACATTGCAGTTGTAATGCAGGCAGAAAGGCTTCTTTCTTTGGTTGATACACTTCCATTAGTTAACAAGAAAAACGAAATACCTTAAGCTTGCCACTATGGTCCTGCACAGAAGCATTAAATCACTACTTATGCTTACCAAGCAAAACAAAATGCCTGATCTCAGCTTTTTATATGATGTGCCCCTTGATATTCCACTACCATCCCCCCTCCTGGATATGAGGCACAGGAAACCAGAAGAGCTGCAGAAACCCTGGGGGGTGTCACATTCTGCTCACCCCCTCAGAAAGAAAGGTGGTTAAGTTACTGTCCTAGCACACCTCATGTAAACCATAAACAAGAATCTAAAGTTAGAGAGATGGAAGTAAAGTTTGTCCTACAAAGTTATGTGACGCAAGTTGCTCCTCTACCACTGTATTTTACTGGTAGAAGATGCCCTTTCTTTAAATAAGGCAGCATTTACATGGCTTCCTATGATGTGTATCAAGTGAAGGGAACTGCAAGAAGAACAGTGATATGTTTCAGATTTTATCACTACTTTTCTTTCAATATGTTGGCAAAACACTTTCATTGACGCTGCTATGCATACATTAATGCACAAGGTCTTGTGAAGTAGCAGTCGTATTCTAGGATCTAATATGAAGTCAGCTTCCTTCTCCTTCAGCCTGTGTATTTCCTTTTAGCAAAGGGGAGATTTTCAAACTCCTGAGTAGACATTTTTCCCACACTTCATTCTAGTGCATAGTCAAGCAAAGTGATTTCCAACACATAAGTAAGTAAACAAAGAGCTCTAGGTTCCTTTTAGGTGGCAAGTGCAATTAGCTTGCATTATAATCTAGCCACGGAGATAATTGCATAGGGGGCTTTTTTTTTTTTTTTTTTTTTTTTTTTTGCTTAGGCTTCTGCTAGTGTTTGTTACAGTACTAATAAATTATCCTGGAGAGAAATAAATAAATAGGTTGGCATCTCCTAGATACCACAATGGAAATTCAGAGGGTTTCGGAAAAGCTGCCCTGATGGTCCCGGGAAGGTACTCGACAAAAGAGTCCATATTATACAACTGTCTGTACAGGAGCGACACACTGTGCGGGAGAGCCAGCTCTCTCCGAGGATGAGGTGGAACGGTTGGTGATTTCTCTCTGCAGTTCCTCCACTTTCTTCTGAAGCTCAGCCCGCTTGGCAAGAAGTTCCTTGTAGCGGTTGTGGACAGGTTCCTGCAAGAATACGTTTAGCTGAGCACTAGATGGCAAGCACAGAACACAAAATGTTGTCACTGACTTCAGGGCAAGAGGGAGGTAGGTGGGGTAATATGTTCTCAAGACCAGAGTAGTTTCTCTGGCTTTAGGATACTCCTTCCTTATCCAACACACAGTCTGACATACATAACGTTCCAGTGTAATGCTGTTTGCTGGCCTTTGGTGCTTGTTTCTTTTCTTTTCTTTCTTTTTTTTTTTGGGGGGGGAGCAGCGGAGAAGTCAGATTAGGAATAATCTAACTCACAGATTAAAAGCAATACAAAAATGTGGTATAAGTGTAAATTTTGAAGGCTGACAACTACAGAACTCTCATCTCTGATATCTCTTTGGGACACTGACCTTAGCATCTAAGCCTGGTCATAATTTCAGAGCTTTGAGGAAAAAAGTAATATAGATGTTTCTAAGTATTTGCCAATAGTCTCTACTGTTAAACAAAACTTGTGCTCAAAAGCATTTGTCAGGTTCCTGTATCTAACGTCCCAGATTTGCCAAACTTTGGTACCTGAAGTTGGACATTTTAGCAATCAAGGAATTTCTAAAGTGATTGATTAAGTGTGATTAAAAAGTGATTTAAGCATCTAGGGCTATATTCAGTCTGTTTGTTTCAAGTGCCTTGGGCACTCCAGACACCCTGCTGTCAAACTTCAAGACCATAATGTGGGTTGCAGTCAGAATAGCCAAAGCAAGTAGCAGGTTCCCATTGCAGGTAATCTGAACACAGCCTCAGCGGTCAGATCTAGAAGCCCATCTACATCCAATCAAGTTTTAGTTTGCCTCTTTTGTAAAGAAGAGACGCTTCAGATAATTTTAACCCTATTCAAAGTGAGAAAATTTCCAAACTGTTGAATATATTCAGTTTCCTGCAGATTTTACATAAATGAACCTTGCCTGGGTGGTAATTCACAAGGTGGCAATTCACTTCCAGCCAATCCCCCCCTCCAACCGTCTTTTACCACTCTTTTCATTTGCTTACATTTGAATTTAGGCTTTTGGTTTCAAATTAAACCTGCTGCAACTGAAGTTTGCATATCGCTTCTTGTGTTCTAAAGGTCTTGAGCTCCAGTGTGACGGTGGCAGTACTATCAGAGAGGGAAATAAAAGCAGGACCCTTTGAAGAGATGGACAACAAAATCCTGTTACCTGCGGTTTCATCCTGGGGTTCCAGCGGATGTAGTAGCCGACCCACAGCTCGAGGTGGCGCATGCTGGCCACAGGATACAGGACATGGTTGGAGTAGCTTACATACAAGGGGTTAGTGAAATCTTCAAGTTGGCTGTTGATGTAAGACCAAAGTGACACGGTCTTTTTTGGAAGGCTCTGTAAGGGAAGAGGGGCAGAAAGCTTTATTTCACAAGTGAATCTTAGCATTTATCTACAAAGCTTTGTCGGTATTTATAACAGCATATACATCTGTCTGTCATTAATACAAATCTGGTTGCCTTTTCACAGCTTTACAAAAAAATCTTCTTTTGATGTGGTTATTGTAATCAAAGCACACGGATGCAGGCAGGCACACACGCACCCTGGCATGGAAACATCCCCTCTTACCCACTCAGCACACGACACAGTCCAGAAATTGCCATCGGCACAGCAAAGGGAAACTGCACAGAACTGGCATCTGAACTCTCAATGCTCTGGTTAAGCTTCACCTCTTTAACGTGCTTCTGGAGGACTAGCTGGTGTATTTAATTGCAAGGAAAAAAAAACCATTTGACTTAGGCCTGTGAATAGTCCCAGTGAAACTTTCTAGATGAAGTACTTTAGCTGCTAGTCTGAGGCCTTGAAAAATAATGAAAAAGTGGGCTTTCTTCTCTGGAAATTACAGCTACTCAGTTACTGTGGACTCTAGAAGAACAGGAGCTCCGACTTCACTGCAGCACAGTGCTATCACTTCTGTATTACAGTATTTTTCTTACAAGTGTGCTGTCAAACACAGTCACAGCAGGTCCACACAGCACAGTCCTCAACATACCTCTGGGATATTAACGCTGCAACCTTTCACTGACAAAATGCTTCATCTTTAGGCACGTGAGACAGAATCAACGTCACTCCTTTTCCTTCTGAGTCCAAGCTGGAGTTGAACAGGCTAGTGTTTGAACTGTTCTGAATGTACACTTCTATACACTCCTCCTTTGGAGCTAGAGGTAAACAAGCCTAGGCCAGACCGCAGGGCAGGGCAGGGCTCACGGATGGAAGGATCTAGAGACATGTCTTTCCTAATATTTCACGTTCTGTCCTCTCCCAGGAAAATATAAACACAGCAAGAACACACATTGAGACCAGTTACTTGCTGTAACCCGTGTGTGTAACAATGCAGACTTGTTGGTGAAAAGCAAACTAAAGGGACCACTTCAAGGAAAACTGAGGGCAAGAAGTTACCAGTTCCCACACAGAAGTTTACATTAAAGTAAAGTTCAAAGAAAAATTGCATTTGCAACGACTTGGAAGACACCAGGTGCTATTCAGCCACCAGTGAGTAACTGAAAGCCAAACTGAAAAGAGTCTGTCTGCCCAGAGGGAAACAGTATCGCTCTGAAGTATGAAGTCCCCAGCAGACAGCAGTTTACACGAAGACGAAAATATCTTGAATCCTAGCTGTTAAGATGTGGGTTTGGTAGCACGCAGACCTGCTCCTACCACTATCTCTGAGAGCTGAAACAATTTAATTAGCAGCATCTGGCAACATAAAGCAATCCTGGTACCATGTCTCCACCTCACAGAGAAAGGGTCTTACCTCTTTCACTCTCTGCTGCTCACTGCTACACAGGAATGTCCCAAACAAACAGCTGTACAGGTGATCCAGGATGGTTATCAGGAAGTACTCGTTGAACTCAAATGCTGTAGGAAACTTCAGAGAGAAGCAGAATATAGGCTGGGTTTGGGCTTTAGAACAGGAATTGCTTGTTGCAAATAAACTTGCTTCCACTTTGTGGTCTTAGTAAGGAGCTGGCCTCCCTCCTTCACTTCTAAACCAGGATTTGTCTCTGTTCTCTGCCTGGCTGGATATTCAGGATCATATTTGCCCTCTCCATGAGCAAGAATTTCTCTCTTGGAAAGCTGCTTTACACATGCAGAGAGGAATTCTGAGTGAGAGCCAGAGGTCTAAAGGGTTTGACCACTGTGTTTATATACAGTATGTAGAGAGCTGCTTCAAATTGAAGCTTGCTCTATTATGCCCACCTCTAAAGACAGGCCTTGTGACAAGACTGTGAACAAAAGGCTGCAATATACATGAAATAATGCATAAAAAGCAATGGAAATCACTTTGTGTGCCCTTCCCTGAGAGAACAGCAGGCCAGCATCACGCGATACGCAGGTCACTGGGAGTGAGTCAGGCTGACCTGGGTACTGGGTACACCCAGATCTTGCCATGAGCTGGGAAAGCTGGTGCTGATGGGATACCACCAGGAATTACAGTCAGAGCAAAACTTCTGAAACTTTCATTAGAGGGATCAAAAATCAGATTCCTCTCCCCAAACCAGATTCATTTGACTAAAACCTAAACTGAGTGGAAAGCTTTCTTAGTTTGTTTTGGTTTTAAGTGCAAATCATCTCTGATACCCATATTCAAAATCCTTGCTAAAGCTGCCACATTAGCTGCAAGAGCAACAAAGAGTTCAAGCTGCCCCAAAACAAACTGCCAGACCTTGCTAACCAGTGCACCCCTCTTTCCCGTTCCACCTGTTTCATTGCACGGCAAGCCTATTTTTTTCAGTGAACTGCCTGACCATGGCTGACACTTGCTGAAAATACAGCACAAAGATCTCAGCCAACATGAAAAAACCTCCTAGGTCCCACATGCCATCCCAGCCACAGAGGATGTCTCCAGAACTGTGCCTCTGCCATGCCTGATCTGAAGGGAGGAACTCACCTTCTGGGTCTATAAATCACGTATGAATCAGAAGCAATATGTCTGCCTTCAGAAAAACTTAAAATGAAGCAAACCCAAGTCTTCCCTGCAGTTCTGATTATGGGATCAGCTTGGGCAAAGGAAATAGGGATCTGTCTGCACCCACCAACACCAAAGAGTTCCGCTGGCATTTCAAGTCACTTACTTACGCTCCTGAAGGCACAGCGGGGAAAGCCAGTGTGTGGCCTCACCACCTCGTGAGGAGGGCTGGTGTGTCTGTTCCTACCCACGGTAAATGCAAGGCAGCTGCCCTGTCTTTCAGAGAGAGGTGGGAGCAGTGCCCACCAACGGGCTAATCTGATGCAAGTCTGCATCACAGCTCACAGCTTCCCCCATAAGTCTGTGCACTCATCAGTTCAGGCTCTTTGCTAACACAGATTTTCAAGAAACTCATAGCCACAGTCCAAAAAAAAAAAAAAAAAAAAAGAGGAGAAGCCCAGAAAGGAGAGCCTGTGGTTTGATTCAGCAGTCAGCTTGGCAATGACTCCAGTGGCCAGACATTGTACCACGTCCTGTGACAGTGGCATTGTGGACACCTGTGCTACCCAGCAATTTACCTGTCTTGTCATTTGCCAGACACAGTCGATGAACTGGAGGAAGACAGGAGAGCGATCTGCATCTGCGTGATTCTTATCTCCATGGCCCACTCTCTGAAACAGAACACGACAAACACAGGAGTGGAACAGGAGTCGCACAGAGCTTCATGGGGAAACTGCCAAGGTCTCCTCATACTTCAGTCATCTGTGCCTTTACAAATAACTTTAAGAAGGTTGAAACGAGTCTTGATTTAGGTATGTCCATACTAGTGAGTAAAGGAGTAAAGAATCCTTCAGTCTTTGCAGTGAAATCTCTTTATGGGGATATTTTCATGTTAAATTAAAAGAAGAGTTGTTTGAATAGAGGCTCCAGATGCTATGCTGGCACTGATTTCAGTTAATAGCTAAAGTTCAGAAGGAAAAAAAAATTAGAATGTTTTTTGCTTTAGTTGCAGCTGTCGTCCTGGCTACTTCAGTAGTACTGCGTGCTAGATATAAACACTACCTACAGACACAGCATGTGGTGATAACCATCATGAAACACCTCACAGCTTCCAAGCGCTGTACAAACACTAACCCAGCCCATCTCCTGCCACCTCAAGACAGGCAGTCATGGAAGTATCCCCAGAGGTAGGCCTCCAACTCTGACCGTGCTGCGTGGCCTTGCATAAGACACATGAGGCCTGATTCTTTATTACTGGTATAGTATATTACTTGTATATACTCCTAAGGAGCCCTAAGCACTATAAAAAGACAGAACAAGAACGTGTAGGCAACACAGAGTTCCCTACCTCTCCTGCTCTCTGCTCACCAAAGGAAATCAATATGATTTTCTCCTCTGTACGGACAAGGAAGCTAAAATGCTTACAGTTCAGAAACGAGATAACAGTTCTCCTGAAGAAGACACTTGGTTGCTCTGTGCCTCAGTTTTCCCATCTTCCTTCAGAGGTAGGGAGCAGCATTTGACTATGCATTATGTGTGCTGTGCAGAGACCTTGTTCTAGTCATTGC